GAGTTTCAGACTTGAGAAGTGTGAGGGAATAAACTTAGCATATAATACATCTAACAATTTTAACATTGAAGTTATGAGACCTAGCTACCAATCTAGTACTGCGCTTGAATTTGTGATAATGGAGTACCAAAAAGTAAAGCTTATCAGAACAATTACCATGAAAATATAGAAAATGCATAAGAAAGCTATGTTAAGGTGATGGAAAAGTGACTGAAGCTGAGATGCCAGCTCAGGACTGACAACATTACAGATTCTCATTTTTTGTCACTACACACAATACAAAAGAATAGAGTTCTGTCTCCATCTTCACAAGTGAGAGATGAATCATAAGGACAAAATGTGATGCAATCAAATTACAATTATACTTAAACTTGTGTGTGTGTATATATATATATGTGTGTGTGTGAAAAAAAAAACAGGCTGATTCTTTGCGAAATAAGCTCATAAGTGAATTATAATACAAGATAGAATAAGAAATAACTCAAGCATTTTAATCTATATCAAAAGAGATCTTTTCAAATTTCTTTTTTTACATCTTTTTTTAATACCTTTTTATACCAATCACTTTTTGTCTGAATTTCTGGGATGAGGAGTTATCATTATTTATACTATTTATATTCAGACTGTTGTCCTCATCTTTGTTGTTATAATTCAAATCTACATCACAGGATTTTCAAACAGTTTCAGTTGAAGTCATGATGTACAAAAATATTGATGTGAACATTAACAAACAAACACTATTTTATGAGTGAGGAAATTGAAATAATTCTATCAAAACATCTGCAAAAAGTGAAAAACACATCAGCACTTGGTAAAAGTATTCATTTTACCCTGCAATAAGATTCCATATATATATAAATAAATAAAATGTAAAAATTCTTAACATTGCATACTTTAAAATATTCAGATCAGATAATGTATTTTTAAGCATTATTACAGCAGAGCTTTACTACATCTCATTCTTTTCTTTATTGTACTGAAAGAGTTTATTGACCCAAACTGCTTTGATACAAAGTAAGAATAATAAACTCGTCATAAAATATTAAAACTAAAATGGTACAGAGAATCAGAATATCAGAGAGCTGGTAGGATGTCTATAAATTTTTGTTCTGTTTAGGCATAAAATGCTCTTCTGACAGAAGAATGGTCAACACAATGTCTATGAAAGACTGATACCACAAAGAGGCACATACATTGTGAGTTCAAGTCTTATTGGAACTTATTTCTCTTAATCTGTTTATCAACCCAATATTAATGAAAAAAACCAACAAAGATGTGTAAAGCTAATCATAAAATAACAATGATGCATATTATTAGCATACTTGAGAAACTCACCAACACATTATATATATATATATATATATATATATATATATATATATATAGGCAGCATATCTTCATTCAAACATGTTTCATTGAATAATATATAGACATTTTATATCTATTTTTTTTAATGATCCTGTCCAGTTCTCTAATCAGTTTTTCGATGTTAAGATAAAATTCATCAATGACGGCAATGTAATTTTTCCCTACCTGTTGTATCTCGTGTTTCAAGATAACAGAGGGAAATAAATAAAGACGACAAACTCATAGGTAAGTAATGAAACAGAAAGTTTACTACACAAAGGTACGACTAGCAATTGATCTAATGCTAACTCTCCTCAACACTACTTATTTACATAAATTCCATAGCTACAACAGATAAATTAAAATTTTGAATATAATTATAACAGAGCACATTCACGCATATTTTTAAAAAAATACCATCACAACAAAATACAAATTTTATCGCTGTTACAATAAATTTGTCTTTGTAATTCACCCCCTGAGGATGATCTTGGAGGAGATCAAAAGTAATTGGTTGGAAAAAACTATGGCATCTTCCGTGATGAATTTCATCTTAACATCAAGAAACTGATTATAGTACTGGAAAGGATCATAATATATCTATATTATTCAATAAAATATATTGACACACACAAACAAGTCAGTTTCTCCTTTGTACAATCTCTATCTCTAATGTAAATGTGTATGTGTGTGAGACCAAGATGTTTTTTTTTTTATAAATAAATTATCAAAATTATGCTTGTAAAATCATTATCATCCAGGGAAGGTCTTGATACAAGTTATTTTGATTTTTCACAATTTGGTTTTAAATTAATTTTCAAAAGGTTTACAGTTGTAACTTTTTATATGGAATCTTATTGCAGGGTAAAATGAATACTTTTACCAAGTGCTGATGTGTTTTTCACTTTTTGCAGATGTTTTGATAGAATTATTTCAATTTCCTCACTCATAAAATAGTGTTTGTTTGTTAATGTTCACATTAATATTTTTGTACATCATGACTTCAACTGAAACTGTTTGAAAATCCTGTGTCGTAGATTTGAATTATAACAACAAAGATGAGGACAACAGTTTGAATATAAATAGTATAAATAATGATAACTACTCATCCCAGAAATTCAGACAGAGACTTAAAGTATTTTTCATGTTTTTGTAAAGTACAGTTTTCTTGATAACTTTTAGAAAGCTGAGTTTCTTTGCAACTTTTTAAAAGAGATCAGTATTAAAAATGGGGCTAACATGCTCCTTTTTCAAGCAATGTTTCATTTAGTACCTGGTTTTGTTGGGTTTGCAGCTAGTATATATAGATATTTTTGGTAAAATATCACAAATGCTTAATAAAGGGAAAAGAGAAATAACTCTGAACATTTGTTTTAGAATAATGGTCATGACAGTGATTTAAGGGAACTAAATCACTTGGGAGTGAAGAAAAAAAAGGGGGTTCCCCTGATGCAACTGATAGTTTGCATTATTAACAAAGAAGGGTGTGGAGAATCATTTGGCAAACATCTTATCCAATGAAAGCAGATATGTTAGTGGATTTGAAGTAAAATATCTTATTGGTGTTATATTTATAGCAATTTCAACTTGTACTATGTAAGAAAGTTTTTTGCAAAAAATTCCCTGATAAAACCTGACAAGTAAGTAGTTAATTAAAATATAGTCATAGGATGACTGACTTTTTAAAGAATTTTTTATCATTTAATATGAGCATACTTAGAGGCTGTCTTATTTCAGTTGATTTATTTTCTACAACTTTATCAAGCCATTGCAGGTTATTTAAAGCCAGAAAATGTTTTTAGATTGTAAGAAATTTTTTTGGAAGATAATGATTTAATGAATTTTTTTGGAGATAATAATGATTTAGTGAATGTTTTTGGAGTGTAAGAATTTTTTTTGGAGATAATAATGATTTAATGAAATGAGTTTTACTAATTAACCCATAGCTTGAAGGAGAAGAGATGGGAAATTGCAAAAAAGTGAATATAACGAACCCAACTGAAATTGGAATTCAGTTCTCTGGTTAATAATTCTAAACCAATATCTATATACATCCAAGTTTACAGCACCTGGTATTTCCAGGTGGTTAACCATTTAGGAACTGACCAGGCTTGATGTTGCTTACATTTGGTGACCATACAGGAACCAATGTTGCAATGTTATATGGCCATGAGCCTCTTGCTTCAGTGTAAATCAGGGTGTGATTTATTAGCATAATTATCTTTCATTTTTAGAGGAAATTACAGTTAACATCATGTGAAGAATTAGCTTTATGTTATCAGAAAACTTTATTTCCTGATCACTGACAATTCCTTATTTGCTCAGTTTTATTGCACAAACTTTATTCTAGTAGTAAAATTTGATAGTACAAATTTTAGGCCTCAAATTCAGTGTTTAATCATCACATTGTTTCTCCCTCTATTTCCACAAATAATTTGTTATTGCCAGAAATGTCAGAAGGGTAGAGTATCGACAAAGTCAGTGGGCAATCAAAAATATTGAAATCTTACATATACTTTAGTCCAAATGCAGTCAGCACCAAATTACTACTAGAATAGTTTTTTTTGTTGTTTTTTAGACTGTTAGAATTAAAATCTGAGTAGTTTCAGCTTAAGTCCTGATTTATATTTTTATTTTTCTGTTTACTATCTTTTTCCACAATTATCAAACTTTTCGATAGTTGGGTTTATTTAATCTTTGGTAATTTGCCTTGCTTTCTAGTGTTTTTGTTTATCCAATGTTATATATATATATACACACACACACACACTTAAAATAAATGTTAATTTTTTTTCATCTTCTAAAATGGATAATGTAATATAACGTTTATATGCATATATCATATATGTTCCAAAGTCTAAAAAATGCTCTCATTGTATGAGTCTCAAACATCCACTAAGCACAGCCCCCAAGCCAAAGAATGTAGTAATGTTAGATCACTGCTGCCTCAATCAGCTGCTTTGGGTAGATGGAGCTGATCCGGGAAAAGAAAATTCTGATTTTAAACCACTGCTACCTTCCAAGGCTATGGAAGTAAATTAAAAAAGAAGATCTGGAGTAGATCCCTAAAGGTGGTTGACTGTGAACACTGACAACATTCTAGCAACTCCATGCCTGACCCAAATGTAATACCCTGTATTCCTTTGGATCTTTTCAGCATGGCCTTGGGGGTTATGTGGTCTTGGCAACATGGCCTCCATAAACCATCGTCCAGGCCTGAAACGGTCACTCCAGTTTCACCGTCAAAGGATGGAATTTTGACCAAACAGGGTGCTACCTTTATTTTGTGAGTTAAACAGATGTACTCCAAAGTAAGAACTAATATGGGACAGAGGAATACAATTTCTTAATTGCCAAATAGATTAAACACTATTCGTGATCAGAGAGAAATTGATTTTGAAGGAGGTGGACAGTCACTTGATAAAAAAACAAATTGTTTAATTTCTGAAAAGTCAATAGCCAGAAGGAACTAACAATGATTAATTTTAACAGATGATAGTTATCAACTGCTAAGTGATATTATTAAGAAATAATAAAAGTAATAATAATAATGAGAAAATATGAATGCAAAGAAAAAACATTAATGAATAATGTAATTTTTGTTAGCAAATTTCAATTATATTTATTAACCTTTTTTTAAGGAAAAAAAGACTTATGGCCATATCAAGTTGAAACACCAATTTTCATATGATCATCAAAGTTAAGCAATGTTGAGCCTGGTCAGTACCTGCAGTGGTGACCTCTTGGAAATACCAGGTGCTGTAAGCTTGGATATGTGGATGGTGTAATGGATAACAGTTCAAAATTGGAACTTGGAAAGCCGAGTTCCAGTTCCTACTGGATTTGTTATATACACTTACACGCAAATATATTTGGGAAAGGTATAAATCCACCTCTTATCCACCCAGATATGGGTTAATTAGTTGGATATTTATCAGTAAATCATTATTTCAAATATTCTTACAATTAAAAATATTTCTGGCTTTAAATAAACTGTAAAAGGTTGAGAAGTCATAAAAACATTAATCAATCAATAAGAAGAATAAATATCAAGTAATCATATAAAGATCAGACTATTTTCAATTATTTCTGGTATTTAAATTGCAGAGAAACTGGTTTTTGAAATCAAGCATATTATCCAAAATTTAATTCGATGTTAAAAATATCTAAATATATAAAATGCTGTGTGTGTGTAATATTTTTTCAGTGTCCAGTTACTACACTGATCTTAGTTATAAGTGCCAAGGAGCAACACTGATCTAAGTCAGAGTGCTTATATACTCTGATCACAGGCAGAGCAAAAACGATTGTGAGGATCAGATTTAAGAAAAAAAAAAAAAAAGAAGCGTAAATCCATATATAAATAATATTGCCATTTTTGATAGGTATGCCAATACGTGTATTCAATCTAAATTAATCTAATATTTAATACAATTGATCTTTGTCAGCAATGACATGTTGATGCATCATGTTATATTTAATTGAGTAGATATTATTTACAGTTTCTAGCAGTGAAAGTACAATCTGGAATGATCAACAGTTTGAACAAGGTCAGCAAACCCACTCAGTCACAATGACTTATGATTTCATGCTAGCACAACTATTAATGACTTTGGAACAGTTTCATCTACCCAGTTTCACTCATAAGGCATGGGTCAATCCATGGTATGGTTTTTAGGTACTCCCCAATAATGTCACTCACGAGGATATCACCAGGCTGATATAATCAAGAAGTTACATCTTTGACAAATTGAACATGATCAGATTTGAACCCTGGTCTCATGGTTGCAATGTTAATGTTCTAACCATTTGGACATGTACCCACATTATGTTGATTTAAGGTTGCATTTGCAATTTTCTCAATATGGAAATCAGTTACAAATGTTGATGTGGGTATCTTCATTCAAGGGTCATCGAAAAGTTCTCAGCCAAACCAAGAACAGAGTGATTTAGTGCCATGAAATGTATATATTATTCCATATATTCACATGGCATGTCATTTATTAAGTTTCTTTAAACCTTCCTAAAAAAAAAAAAAAACAACTATTCCTTTACAAATTCCTTTTAAAGTTTGAAAAGAAGAAGTAATCAAATGGAACAAGATTTGATGAGCAGTGAAAATGATCTCTGCACTTAGACACCAAATTCTTCAAAAGATTCAGTCTTGACAAAAGAGAACACCTTTCCTGCACTTCCCTCAATGTTTTTCTTTCAATGCTTCCTTTAATTGGCATGACAAATTAGAATTAGTATTTTATGCTGTAGAACCCTGAGAGTCATCAAAATACCTTCCTTATCCACAAAATATACATGATCATGTCATTTCCTGCTGACTTTAAACTCTTGAATTTCTTCTATCATGGAGAACTCAATTACCATGTCTACTGCTGTTTGTTCTCTGAATCATAGTTGTGATAACCATTTATCATCAAGAGTGAGAAGATATTTCTAAACATTATCACCAGATCATTGAAAATACCACAAAATCAGCTTGGATGTGTCTATTCTATATTGTTTCTGATCATCTTTTTAAAATTTTGGACCCTATTTGATTGACAATTTCTGCTTAATTATAAATATATTCCATGGATATCTCTCACATCCCAGTAATTCTGGCCAAAATCTGGTCATAAATATGATCAACATATTTGTGAGTTGAAACTGTTGAAGGCCTTGCAGACTATGCTCTCACCCAGGTGTCAGAATTTCTACAATTCTTTACAGCTGAGTATGACAGGCATGTATCAGTCAATGTTTGCATCATACATTCATGGATTTCCTTTGGAGCCATCTTCTGTCAGAACAGGAAGTTTATGAGGGTCTTGAAAATTCCACACAAATTAATTAAAAAATAAGCACAAGTGACAACACAGATTTTTGGAAGTGGATTGGGTAAAAAAAAATGTTCAGCATATTTTTGGATAATTGTGGCTAAGACAATCAAAAGCCAAAGATATCAGTGAAGCAAGTGAGTAAATATTAAACAATAAGGTTAGCTTTTATTTTAGCAAGTTTGAAAGAAAGGAGGAGGAGAAAAAACAAAAAAACTTATTCCAAGAATACCCAGATTTCAGGCTTACAGCCATATCATGATAAAACACAGGAGTTAAGCAATGTTGAGCCTGGTCAGTACCTAGGTGGGTACCCATTTGGGATTACCAGATGCTGTAAGCTTTAATGTGTAGGTGGTGTAATGGATTAATGGCTTGGAATTGGAACTGGTGGTTCAAGTTCCACTTCCAGTCAGGTTTCTTATATTCACTTACACACAAATACCTTTGGGAAAGGTACTAATCCACCTCTTCTCCACCCAGCTATTGGTTAATTTGCAGGACTTGTATTAGAAAATCATTAACTCCTGAAAATTCTTACAAACTAAAAATATTTTTTGGCTTTAAATAATCTGCAAAAGGTTGATAAGCCATAAAAAAAACAAATCAAGTAATCTACTCAGGGTTTAGAAATGATTCAACACTTGTTTGCAGTGATTCTATCTCCCTTTTTGTTATTTTCCTTTGTTGATGCTTTGGTTGCCTCTCATAATGAATAATTACAAAAAAAAAAAAAAAAAAAATTACTGCTATTACTTGTTTTATATAAGCATAGATCTCATAATTTGGGCTTATTTTGAAGCAGCAGTCACTGATGAAAAATTGCTTGGAAAGAAATAGACTTCTATGTATTTTGTTTGTTTTGCATATTCATAATAATTCAAGCATCATAAAAAGCATAACAAATCATATTAATTAAAACTGAAGAGGGGGGAGCCGGTATTGTATTTTTATATAATATTGGATGCACTTAGAATGTTGATAAATATGAATGCAAAATTTCCTGGTTATTAATGAAATGCCACTGAAGAGCTAATAAACCTAATGTACCTACAATATAAATATGTAAACATTGGTGCATTTATACTTATAGTTGGTGGAAGTTTCTCTGAATTGGGATTTGTACCTCCAATTTTTTTTACTTCAGATTTTGAATACCTAGCAAAGATGTCTTTGATCATCTTTAACTGTGAAATTAATTTAACAGGGGGAAAAAATCATCTTCCATATAAAATGAAACAAAATCTGTTCAACTTGTTCTGTTAATGTAATTATTTCTTCTCATCTAAAATTATAACATTTTTCCAATCAAAATCTAAAAAACTAAGAAACTTCCTCACAGTCGTTCCCATATGTTATGGTAATAAAAAGCAACATAATGTTGGAGATAATTTGGCATGAAATATGTTGCAAAAATAAAACTGACAAAATTGTCTAGAGTAATTGCTTGACTCTAAGCCTGACATTCATCAGAATGAAGGGTCATTTTGAGAATCACATTTTGAAAAATAAATAAAATGTATGCCTTACATGCCACAAAATTACATTTGTCCCTAGCAATATTTATGGAACATACTAAGGAACAGAAAAAAAAAAAAATTACCTTTGAAATATTAAGAATTGTCAACACAAGACAAAAGAAAAAATTAAAAAAATGTTGCTAAAAGGATTACCAACATTTCTAACCCCTTAAATATACAACTCAATTATAACTTTTTCTTCTCTTAAAATTACCTGACTTTTTTGATATTCTCTACAGAATAACACATACATTTCATGATATGGTGTTTTTTACTTATTTATTATGTTCAATTGTATATATAATAAATATCACATCTCTATCCCACAGAAGACACTCTCAATATTCTGTCACTATTAACATGGCAAATGTTCTGACAGGCTATATTCCTTAGTTCCAGCTCTGACTCGCCATGCTATGCCATGTACACTGAAATGAATCATTCACTTCATATTCTGTAAGAAGGAAGTTCCATTCAGTCAGTTTCTTCCCAAGAAGTGCTGCTTTGTGAACAAACTCCTGAGAGGATGTTTTCTTGATCCCTATAATCTTAACCTCTTCAAATCTAGGGTTAACCTTTATCTTTCGTATATATCCTCTTAAACTAAACTTCTGATCTCCTCCTCTTATGTACAATAAACTCAATCAGTAACCCTCTATTTTGAGCGGCTCACGGGCCTTGTATTGAGTGAACAATTAGTAAAAAAGAAATATGCAGAGTCATAAAAAATACTGATAATTGCTTGTGTATGCTATAATTTGTTCCGAACAACTATGAATTTTTTCACGTTTTAAGAAATTAATAAGTAGCATTTTATGAAATCATGAGTAACAATTACTTTTGTCATTAACAGTCGTGGAAAATGATAGATGATTAAATTAATGGTATATGCAATTATATAGAATTTAAATATAACTTTCTATCACTATTTCATTATAAGTGGATTTTGTTAAAAATTGACAAGTATGCCTTGTAACTCTATAACTAATAAAATAAAAAATGTTCAAACTTTTTTCAAAAGCCATTTCTGATTAATTCTGCAGCTATTATAAATTTGGAAGGACAGAGTGATTAGTTTTGAAGTCATAATCAGAAGAGGCTTTTAACCTTTACCAATCAGATGTATCTCATTAGGCAATCCTTGACTCTTGAAAAATAGGCTATTTTTCTTATATATATGTGTGTGTGTGTGTGTGTGTGTTTTACAAAGGAAAAGAAAAAAAATCTTACCAATATCCATATTTCACCACCAAGTAAAACTTGGCAAGTGCATAAACAACAATTTTTTTAAAAACTAACCTAAATTTTGACCACAGAAAAATGTTACTCAGTTCTAGAGGTTAAGCAAAAAGGAATCAAATTTTGGTACACTGAAAAATTTGACTTCTTTTTGTGTAAACTCATTTTAGTACATA